AAAACGGTTGAAACACACAGAACAGGACTGAAGGAGCTCCGATCTGCTGCCACATACAAGATGGCGGACGCTGTTACCTACGACTCAGTGCTCAGTGAGGCGTCTAGTATTCATGTCTATGCTTAGTGACCTCCATCCTTCTGCTTCGTCACCATGTCACACCTCTGGGAGGAGGGGACATCCTGGACTGGGTGCACACACACACACACACACACACGCCACATAGACATTCCCCCCACCAGCTCCCCTCCAAGGTGATCTGGACCCGCGGGTCGATTTGAGCTGATGGAGCTTCGGGATGATGATCAATATCTGCTGTGGGGAGGAAGAGGAGGAGGAGGAAGAGCTGACAGGAGGCAGCAGCTTCTGTCCCGGTGGAACCTGAGCTGCTCTGGTTCCTGAGGTGGAGGTTCTGGTCCAATTGGGTGGAGGTTCTGGTTTGACTGGGTGGAGTTGGATGTTACAGGATCCACAATTATTTCTAATCAACTTTATTTGGGAAATATTTACTGTAGATGTAAAAATAATACAGTAATAAAGCTGTAGGTTATTTAGATATAGAGCTCTGAACTTTTTTTTTTTGGCTGGCCAGCTTCTTTTAATTTTTTTTTTTTTTTTTTACCAAGGACCCTGAAAGGATTCCTTATGATCTAAATGTTTTTTTTCTTTTCTTTGTTAGTTTTCCAAGAAAACTGTATGACGAAGTTGGATGTGTTTCAGTCCAGTAACTTGTAATAAACATAACTGGTTGATACTAAACTGCTATCTGAACCCGAGTAAATTCTGTTCTTTGGTTACATTAGCAAAGTTTTTTTATTTTGAAAAATTAAAGACTTCTTCCTCTAATGTAGCTGGTCCACTGTCCTGCACTAGAGATTAATTAATGTAATTTAAGTACATCTAACATAGACCAGCCCTAACCCTACCGGCACGCAGCATGCTGTGGGGAGTCAAACCCGGACCGGAGTCTCATGACTGTTCTATCAATTGTGACCAGGAGGGGGAGATTCTTTTAAAAGTTAAACAAGATGCACCAGAACACAAACTGAATCATACACAATATTTTTATTAACAATTCTCTTAAAACAGTTCTATTTTTAAAAGCATGGCTTCAGGCCTACAAATCGGTCCTTGAAAAGAAAGGGAACATGTGAGGTAAGGACGGACAAGTTCAATTCTTCAGGAAGAAAAAACAAAACAAAAACAAACATGCAATGCAAAAGAAAACAAATTAGTAATTTTAATAACGCACAACAAAAACAAACTATAAAAGAAAAACACTTCAAACAGTGGAACTAATCGTCATCGTCCAAATGCCCTTCAACAGGGCCAGGGAGAAACGCCCCGTCCAAACAAACGATACAAGACAAGACAGCAGAGCGTCCGAAGCCTGCAGCTCCAAAACACAATCAGCCAAAGCAGCACAAATGAAAATTTTTGCTGCACAAACCAGCACAAACATAGCCGAGTTGATTGACACCCATTTTGCCTGATTTGAAGAAGGTGGGGGGTTGGTTGACCTTGGATGACCTCTAGAAACATCTCTTTATATCTTTAAAATGATAGCGGCACAAACGAAAATTTTTGCTGCACAAACCAGCACAAACGTAGCACAAACGTTTGACACCAATTTTGTCTGATTTGAAGAAGGTGGGGGGGCCAACTTCACTCAGGTTGTGGGCGTGGCAGAATGGCAAATTTCAACCCCTCCATACGGTTGTCTCTAAATCATACATGAATTATCTGATTTACACCAAACTGGAGATGTATGACCTTTGTTCACATCTAAAGAGGCCAATGCTATTATATTGGAATTTGGCTCAAGGGCGCCCCCTACATTGATCCAAAAGTCATCACCAGTCCAGACAAGGTTGCTTTCAGCTTTAATTATTCCGTGTTTTAATTTTTATTATCTTGTTTATGTTTTTACTGCAGACCTTCTTATGAGTCTGGAATAAAGAGATGATGATGATGATGATGATGATGATGAATACAGCTGATCTTGGGGGCTAGGGGTCCTGCTGCCCTGGGCGAGCCACCGCTCTGTCCTCTGCTGGACATTTTTGGTCGTGTCCAGGGGCCGTAAAGGGGGGAAAAGTTAGGACCATTCCAAGGCCCCTCGACCGACCGGAGTCCCCCCACAAAATAGTTTGTTTTTGTTTTTTGTTTGTTTTTTTACAGAAATAGAAAAAATTGGGGGCCGTGTCGACTACAAAATTAATCATATAATGTTTTTAAATTAGTTTTTAGTAATAAAAATTAAATGTTCCCACTCCCAAACTAAAAAGCACATATCCGTATTTGCCCTGAACCCCCCTATCTGCGTTAAATGGTTCCTTCCTGCTTGGAGCTTCACCGTGACTGTGGCAGTTACTATGCTGCTAAGAAAAATAATAGTCAGATTTTCAAAAAAATATAGAGAAAAAGACAAAAGTGTCTATTTGTAACCCAGTTTTTCTCCAAGACAGGTGAGTAGACTGTGTGAGATTATCAACCCCGCATAGCTTAGCATAGTTAGCTTAGCTACCGACTGCTGCTGGCCTCCATTTCACTAGCATTTAATGAATTAAGGGGGGAAAAGTTCCCAACATATTCATATATTTAACTCTTCCCTGTACCTTTTACCACTTAACAACAGGGGAGTCAGTCAGCAGCAGCTCTAACCACCATACAGCATCAACCCTCTTCCTCCCCGTCCCAGTGAAAAAACTGAGCAACACTGTGTTCAATGACAAGCTAGTTAGCATCATTCCAGGGAATCTATAGGGATTTCTCTGCCTTTGCTCTTTTTACAATTACACAACAAAAACAATATATTTATTACTGACAGAAGTTCAAACAATCTTTATAAAATGATAATAAAAAACAGCCTCCTGTCTGGACTGCAGCCAGTCCACACAGTTTTACCTTAGCTTGCATTTAAATTACAGGTATCTGTTACCACGTCCCTCCTGACCGTCCTCTCCTGAGTGAAATTAAAGCTGCAGCAAGTAACTTTTATAAAAAATATATATTTTTACATATTTGTTAAAACTGTCATTATGTTGTGACAGTATGGTATGAGAGATAATCTGTTAAAATCTGTTTCCTCTGCCTTCTGCCAGTGCTAGAAACAACCAGTCAGAGGCAGGAGAGTTTTAGTGCTGTCAATCACAATCTCATGGTGCTGCTCCTCCCTATGCTGTAGCTAGCATAGCCTGTTGTGAATGTTCAGTCTAGTTAGCATATCTACCAGTGACGGCAGATAAACGATTTTCCTGTAACAATAAGTTGTTTCTCCAACACTAGCACATTTAGCAGTGAGTGAATGAGGATAATTGACAGCGCTAAGACCCTCCTCCTGCTTCTGATTGGTTGTTTTTGGTTAGAACGTTGCATTCCTTTAGCTAGCAGTAGCAGCTCAGGTGGAGGAGATTGATTTTTTTCACCGATTATCTGTCATAACAAACTGTCACAACATGGTGACAGCTTTAACAAATGTGGAGAAAACATATATTTATTCAAGTTATACTGCAGCTTGAATAAAATGCATCTTCATAGCATTTTTTGAGAAGTCTGGATTGCTTCATGTATATTTTGCATGTGGCTGGTGACTTCAGTAATTTAAAAAATGAAATCACCTATTTGCATACAGCATGGGGACTGTTGCATCTAAAATTCATTAGCAGTAAATATTGTGCTCGTATCAAAGAAAGCAAGGCATTTTCAAGCCTTTAAAATTTGATGTTTTTTTCAAACAGACACAAGAAATTGTGACAGCAGGGGGCCTCCAATTTATTTTTTTTGTCATGGGTCCCAAGATTTCTGGCGGCGCCCCTGAGTCCAGTGGAGCTTCCTCCTTTCAAAGCCTTCTGCTTTTAGTAGCTTCCTGTTTTATTTTGGAAACTGTGGGGTTTTCTCCTCACTTCCTGTTCCTGAGGCTCCTGTCAGTTCTGTTTTATCTGGTTGGGTTTGGGGGGAGGTGTTGAGTTACAGGAAGCAGCAGAGGCCAGCAGGGACGCTCCTGAATTATTGATCGCTCTCATAGCTTTTATTTTCTTCCTGGGACGACGGCAGCAGCATTCACCTGAGATTTCCCAGGAGGCCTCAGTCACCAGGTCGCCACGGAAACAAGATAAAGCTGACAAAGACGAAGATGAGTCCAGTTGAAGCACATGACCCTGACTCTCTCCAACAGGAAAACACACCCCGACCCCCGACCCTCCCACCCGCTAATCCCCCCATTGATCTGCAGACTCAGCGCTAATCTGGAGTTTCCTTCACAACTGAATTTCAAAATAAAACCACTGGATTATATCACCTGCTCATTAAGGTGCCTGTGGTAACCATATTTATGTCTGAGCCAAATATTTAGATTTGACACTAATTCACTTGCTGATAACCGGAAGTGGACCACCAAAATAAAAGCTGGGTCTTCATAAACCGTCATGTCTCCGATCATCGTCGTTCAGCTGAAAAAAGAACGAGTCGAGATGCTTCAGCATCTCACCACCAGGACTTATGGAGAAGTTGGCCCAGCCTTTATTTTGAAAGTCCCCCTCCCTCTCACCTATCTCAAAGTAAATTTCCATTTTGGCTAAACGTTTAGCTCTGGGATAACTGAATAGTTTGGAGCTGAATATTTAGCTATCAATCAATCAAATGTAATTTGTAGATCACATTTCAGCAACACGTCGTTTCAAAGAGCTTTAAAAACAGAACAAAGAATCCTAACATTACATTTAGTCCCATCAATAAATTATTAAACCGTTTTAGGGTTAGGGTTTAAAGGAGCTCAGGGTTTCGGTTGTTTTCCAGTTTTCAGGAACTTTGTTCTAGATCTGTGGTGCATAGAAGCTGAATGCTGCTTCTCCATGTTTGGTTCTGATGCAGAACCAGAACCAGAACCAGCAGGTTGATCCAGCAGCAGATCTTTACTCCGTTCAGCGATTTATAAACGACCAGTGAAAGAATGTAGAACCGGGTGGTGTAGATCTAGGTGGTGTAGATCTGGACCTTCCTGGTCATCTACACATTTCTCTGATCTCTGTTCAGTTATGGATGGGGTCAAAGGTCACCTGGTGACATCATAACGTGGAGCTGTGTATCGTCTGCGTCGCCATGGTAACTGATCTTGCTTCCTGCTGTATCCTGAGCCAGTGGGAGTTTATAGATATTGAATCAGAGGATGGAGCCTTGGGGAACCCCACATGTGACCTCTGACCTCTTGATGAAACGTTTCCTATTGAAACAGAAATGCCAGTTCTTCAGGTCGGACTGGAAACACTGGAGTTCTGGACTGGAGAGTCCGACCCAGTTCTCCAGTCGGTTCAGTAACATGATCAGAACCAGAACCAGTTCTGTAGTTCTTCCACCGACTGTGTTTATATGGATAAACTGGGCCTTTGACTAGGCCGTTCTCAGTCCTGCGGTAACCATGGAAACCAGGTCACTGGAAGCAGCTGCAGGTTGGAGATCCAGACTGATTCTACCAGATTTGGTACCTGCTGCTTCTGAAACACCTGACCAGGTGAGATGATTTATAATTTCTTCTAGGGTTTATAATAGTTGAAATTGGGTTTATGTTGGATAACCATTGGTGATGGATTAGGGTGGATGTTGAGATTAATTCTCTAATTTCTAAAAAGATATCTCTAACTGGGGTTATTGCTCTGAGTTAAACACATATTTAGTCTGAAACTTTATAAATTAATCCAGCAGGGCGGCGCTGTCTCTGAAAATATGACTTTGTTTTTTCCTCTTTAAAGAATTAAATAATCTGAATAATCCAGATTAACTGAACATGATGATACTTAATCAGAGGGACTCTCGGTTCTGTTGGACTGGACTCAGAACCAGCAGGTGGTTAGAACCTGTTGATGACGTCAAACGTTGTTGTTGCAGCATCACCTGGACAGGTGTAGGTCAAAGTTCACTTCGGTTCTTTGATGCCAGCAGGAAGGGAGTCGCTGGAAGTTTCTAGAACAATAATGACGTTGGAATTTTATTGTGAAGGGCCGGCTTCCGGTGCAGCAGCCCACCTGCACGCACCTTGACGCAGCTCAGAGGCCAGTCGGCATGACAACGCGCTCTCCAGGGCAAACCGGGAACAGCTGATGGAGGAGGAGGATGGCAGCTCAGCATGTCCAGTAACGGAACCCGCGCAGAAAGCAGAACCGCCGCCGGTTCGGTCCAGCTCCCGGCCATGGAGAGAGCGCGGCCCATCACGGTGAAGGTGTCCGCGGTGAGCCTGGCGCTCAGCTCGCTGTCCCTGCTGCTGCTGGTCACCGCCATCTCCACCGACCACTGGTACCAGACCGACACCCGCAGGCACAAGCAGAACTGCGACGGTTCCGACTCCAACGACCAGAAGAACCGGGAGATGCCCATCTACCACCTTCCGCTGGTGGACACCGGCGGCGCCGCGGCCCGGCAGCGGGACGTGGCGCTGATGAAGCCCGTGCATGTGGGCAGCAGAGAGGAGGAGCTGCTGGAGAACTGGCGGGCCATCCTGGGGATGGGCATCCTGGAGACGGAGTGCGGCAGGCCGCTATTCTCCACGCACTCCGGCCTCTGGAGGAAGTGCTACTTCAAGGGACTGGACTCGGACATCGACAAGCTGATCGACCGGGGTGCGTGAACCACACACACACACACACAGATAAATGCACCACGGATGAAGGATGGATGGGAATGGTTAATCACGTGATCTGCTGCTGCGGATGTTCCGTTCAGACACCTGAGCTTCCTGAAGCTGTGGCCCCCTGATGACATCACAGGAGGTGATAGAACAGAAAGCTGACCGCGAGGACGTCAAAGGTCACCTGATGATGTCATGAGCTCATTAATGTGTGTGTTGAAATTGAACTGGAGTGAGAAGAAGCTCAGTTTGAACTCAACCCAATACCTGCCGGTACCAGTGAACTGGGAGGACTGGTGGGACTGGCAACCTGTCCTTGGTGTCAGCAGTTGAGAGCTGGTTCTGGATCTTCTGGTTCTGGTTCTGCTGGTTCTGGACCCACTACCTGCAGCTTTTCTCCAGCCTCCTGCTGTGGCCAGTATTTCCCTAGAAGTTCCTCTGGTTGGATGGGTTGTTCTGGTTCTGGATCCGATCCCGATCAAACTCCTGTAGAACGTTTTGAAGAACATCCAGCCCACAGAGCGGTCCAGACGCAGGTTCCAGAACCATCTGGGTTCCAGTTCCAGTCCAGGTGTTGAAGACGTGCAGCTGGATAATGCTGAGCTCTGATCCGATCCAACAGCGGTGGGCCAGGACGGATCAGAACCAGGGTTCTGCTGACCTGAGACCAGCAGATTGGGTCCTACCAAACGCTCTGACCTGCTCTGGAACTGGCAGAACCAGAACCACAGATTACATCAGCCTCCATTAGTCACGTTAGAGCCACGCCACATCACTACATTTCCCATGATGCACCAGGAACTCTGACCCTGAAGGTTGACAGGTTATCAGGGAGCTTCTGCTGGTTGATGAAATCATCACAGGTGTGTCTCACCTGTGTGTCTGCAGGTATCGCAGATCGCTGCACGGCTGTGAAGTACCACTTCTCTCAGCCAATCAGATTAAGGAACATCCCTCTGAACCTGACCAGGACCATCCAGCAGGACGAGTGGCACCTGCTGCGTAAGCACACACACACGCACGCACACACACACACACATCTGTTTCTCCTGTAGGCTTTTTTTGGGGGGAGGGGGGCGGTCGGCAAAGTTACAGTAAAATGTGTTTTTTTTTTGTGTGTTTTTAAGCTGCACCATCAAAAATGACAAATAAGTAGCAATGAATAACAAAAATGTTTTTCTCTGTAAACAACCTGTTGAGACCCATAGAAGTCAAACTAAGATTCAAATGTTGCTTAGATATGTTTGGTATAACGACCCCCAAAGTCTTGGTCAGAACCAATAATATCTATAATTCCCAAAGAATCAAAGACCCCATAAATTGCTCGTCTACAGACCAATAACTTTGCTCTGCTGTGATTTAAACATTTTAAATAGAATACTGGCAAATCAAATTCAAAAATGTATCCACACAATAATTAAACCAGACCAAACAGGGTTTATATCAGGTCGTTTAGGGATAAATAATATTAGGAGAACCTTAAATGTGATCTCTGTGGCGAGACAAAAACAGGACCCTGCAATGCCTTCTCAGCCTTGATGCTGAGAAGGCATTTGATAGGGTGGACAGGCATTGTCTGAAGCACACACTGGAAAAAATGGGATTTCGTAGAGATTTTATCAAGTGGATTAGTGTGTATATTCTGGACCCACATCCAAAGTACGGGTGAATGGACACTCCTCAAGGAAATTTGGTTTAAAAAGAGGAACTAGGCAGGGATGTCCCCTTTCACCTCTATTTGCTATCGAGCCCCTGGCAGAAAGGATACGGTCAGACCTGAGCATTCGTGGAGTAACAGCAGGAGGAGTTACCCATAAAATCTCATTGTATGCAGATGACATTATTCTGTATATTTCTAACCCTTTGAGCTCAACCCCCAGTCTTATGTCTAGCTTAAAAGAGTTTGGAGAAATCTCAGGCTATAAAATTAATGAAACCAAGTCTGAAGCTATGATGTTGGTGGGCAAATGGCCTGCAGGCTTAGATAAAGAGGTCACTTTTAATTGGTCCAAGAGGGGATTCAAATATTTAGGTGTGATGATTACACCACAAACCTCGGAACTATTTAATGGAAATTATGGTAGATTAATCACACAAATAAAATCAGACCTGAATAGATGGGAGATTCTCCTCTGTCCCTTTTGGGCAGATTAGAAACAGTGAGAATGAATTTACTCCCACAGTTAATGTATCTATTTCAGGCACTACCTATTTGGATACCTGCCCCCACTTTTAAAATTTTGGATAAAATTATTAATGACTTCATTTGGCAAAGGAGGAAACCAAGAATCAGACAGAAATTATTATTAAGCCCAAGAGAAAAAGGGGGCCTTGGTCTGCCTAATCTGAAACTACTACTGGGCAGCACAACTTGGTGTTGTGGTCGAGTGGCTGGTGCAGACGAACTGGATCGGTCTGGAGAACAACGCCTGCCCCCTGGTACCTCCTGAAGCGATGCCATTTATGGAGGGATTTTTTTTTATTAAAAAATTGAAAACGAATGCATTAATTGTACATACAGAGTTTTGTCTCTAGTGAGGAAGAAAGTAGGAGCACCTTTAACAATATCATGCATAATAAAAATAGCCAAGATTACTGACTTTGTTCCAAACAAACTGGATACGGGTTATTAGGGATGGGCACAGAAAGGGTTAATAAGAATTAATCAGTTATTCAGTGGAGAAACTCTTAAGTCACTTAAACAGTTGCAAGATAAACATGGTTTATGTTCTAAAGATTTCTATAAGTACTTACAATTAAGGGATTATCTTTTATCGCACAAAAAATGGTCTACTTTGAAACAAAATACATCACCTTTAGAAAACTTTATGATAAAATGTGTAGAGGAAAATAATAAGAGGAAGATTGATCTAATTTATTTAAACACCTATAGATACATTTCTCTGATAATTCTATAGAAAAAGTGGGAACTAGAAATGAATATTGTTGTTGAAGATGGGGAATGGGAGGAGATTTGTGAAAAAGGTTTTAAGATCACCCACAGTCCAGGCTGGAAGGAATTTGACTGGAAATTCAGAATAAGATTCTTCAAAACACCTTTCAGTATTTCAAAATATGACAGAAATGCTACAAATTTGTGTTGGAGGGACTGTAATCAGATTGGGGATCACACAGAGACAGACAACCATGCACACACACACATAGAGAGAATTCAGACAGACCAGTTAACCTGACATGTTTTTGGACTGTGGGAGGAAGCTGGAGTACCTGGAGAGAACCCAGCATGCACAGGGAGAACATGGGGACTCCATGTAGAAAGACTGGGCCTGGGAATTGAACCCAGAACCTTCTTGCTGCAAGGCAACAGCTCTACCAACTGCACCACTGTGCAGCCCCAAGACAAGTCATGTGTTATTTAAATTATAACTTCAGTTGCTTTAAACGTTTATTTCTGAGGGGCTTGGAGGGGGGGTCCATTTTAAAACCATATAAATATGTAGGAATTGAATATTTGGGAAGTATCATAACTTAAACTTAAAGGTCAGCACCAGAGTTTTCTAGAAAAATAATCAGATTTTATTTTGTGTTTTAAAGGCTCTACGTTGAAGATGGTAAGAAATAAAGACGTAATTTATTTTGTTTTACTGCCAGCTGCAGTCGCCCCTCTGCTCTCGGCTCCCATACTGTCTGTCGGCTAATGCTAACGCTCAGCCGCTCCCGTTTCAAACTCTTCTTATTAAAGTAAGAGTTAGAGAGCTAAATATAACTGAAATATTGTCTACCTTCTACAGAAAAAGGAGCTAAGTCTATGAAAGCAATGTAGCAGTTTAGCCAGTTTTGATTTCCAAGACATAAGGAGGCAGTTTATCATTTATAATCTTGCCCTGGCTTACCTCTCTGAGCTTCCTCACCCATACATACCTTATCGGTCTCTCAGGTCTGCAGATCAGCTGCTTTTGGAGGTACTGAGATCCAGCAGGAAGCTCAGAGGGGACAGGGCTTCTCTGTCAGGGGCCCCAAATTATGGAACGACTTGCCTTTGCAGGTCAGAGAGGCCCCTTCACTGTCCACTTTTAAAGCTCGTCTTAAAACCATCTATTTTACTTGGCTTTCAACTCCAGCAGGATCTAGTTTTAAATTGTATGTTTTTGTTTTTAAACTGTAAGTTCTTATTTTATGTTTTTTTATTGTTATGTTGTGTTTTGATGTACAGCACTTTGCATCAGCTGTGGTTGTTTAAAAGTGCTTTATAAATAAAGTTGGTATGGTATCATTCAGCCAAAGTAATGAAATAACAAACTGTTTATTGTTAATGTGTTTCTTCCTATTGAGCAGTGAAAGTCAATAAAACGTGTTACATGTTTTTTGCTGTAAGTCAGTGATTCTTGAGAATAGGGACAAAACAGGTCCTATGGATAAAGCACCAAATTTGAATAAAATATACACTAAATAAATTTTTCAAATATCTGACTAAACTAACCTGGGTCATGTGAGCACAACAATGAATATTTTCCTGGTATTTGCTGAATATTTTTTTATTTTAAACATTGTAGTCGGTGGATGATGCCTGTTGATAGGTACTTTTTCTCAAACCTATATAAAAGAACCACAGACAACGTATATGAATTTTATAGCCAAGCTTTTGCAAAAGGAGAAGTCTCCGTCAACAGCTCCTCCAAGCTGTTCACAGAGCGTTCTGATCTCCTTCCACGCGAGCCCCAGTTTTATTGTCAAAGAAAAACAGCCAAGGGGGCAGTCAGGAAAAACAACAGAGGTCGTAAAACATGTAACCTAAACAACCAGCAACCCAGTTCCAGGTGTGATAACTGATCTACGGTCTGAGCCCGGTTCAAATCTCGGTCAAACTGTCAACAAAGAGGGAGGATAAACAAGAGACAAAATACGACTACACACAGGCAGTTCCTTAGTTAGGAGGTATTTTGGTTGATAAGGATTTAAGGTCTGGGAAACACAGAGTTAACTGTCTCACATGAAGATAAACAGACAGTCCTGACCTCCAGGTCAGTTCATACACACATAAGGAAGAGAACACTTTAAACAGACTGAATGTGAACTAAAGTAATAACAAAATGATAATACCGAAAATTCTCTAACACCTGTAAAATCCCTGGTCCAGGAGCAGAAATCAATACATTATAATAGTTTAAAACAATTAAAGAAATACTAAAATTATATATTATGACAATTAAGTATAAGTAGTCATA